GAAACCTATTTGGAAACTACCATACTCAAGGTTTGAATGATACTGTTCAGGGCTGATAAATGCTTTGATCGATCAAACTCCCTGCCCCACCAGCACTTATCAATTCAAAACAACTTTTACCAAAGTTTCTTTTTAGGATCAAAACATGTTTGTTATGAACCATAAACATGATTACTGAATAAAATGCATGAATATAGAACCCACACTCAATCTTTGAAATCTGCAGAACTTCTTGGATTGAGGTTACCCAACTAAGTAACTATCTTGCGGAAAAACTATCTGAAAATAAATAATTATAGACTTCATTTTTGTTTAAATTTTGCCAACTTAAGTCGTGTTGACCCAACATGTTGCACTCAGAACTAAAATTATCTTTCAAGGAATTTGTTATAAAAATAGGTGTTGAAGGATTTAACTATTAAAGTTACACTCTCTCTAATAGCTTAAGCTTTTAGAGTAGATGGTTGTTAACATGGTATTAGAGTGGATATCGATTCCTCTTTAAATTTTTTTACAGTCTTATTCAGACTCCGATCTTGATTCCATCTCGACTTTCTCTCAACAATCTCTTCGGCAAGTCAGCAATCTCTTCTTGCCAATCTCTCCTTGGTGATCTCGGTTCTCGTCTCGGCAATCTCTCTCGGATTCCTCCTCGCCTCTCCCCTCGGTAATTTATCTGGGCTTGATCTTGGTTCTCTTATCTCAGCTCCCTCTCGCTATTATATCTCATTTGTTCGGCAACTCTTGTTATGGATACCAAGGAATCTCATCTTCTTGGGTCTATCGACTCAATCACCAGCACCAAACTGAAAGGCTTGAACTACCTTGAATGGTCTTGAGCCGTAGAGGTGTTCTTACGAGCTCGAGGAAAACTGTCTTATCTTGAATTAACCAAACCCCCCAATGATGAAAATATTATTGAGGCTTAGGAGAAAGATGATGCTCAGATTATGACTTGGTTATGGAATAGCTTGGAGCCTGAGATCTTCAACAATTGTGTCATTCCTAGAATCTGCCAAAGATATCTGGGAAAATCTCAGGGACATGTATTCTTCAGAAAAGAATATTTCTTATTTATCAGTTCTACCAGGATATTTTAAATCGCTAGTAGGGAGATCGTTCTGCTGAAGATTATTACTCAAAACTGAAGGGTATGTGGGAAGAATTGAATGTCTACCAACCATTGACTACAGACGTAGAACAACAAAAAGGGCACAGGGAGGAGTTTCGGGTGGCAAAATTTTTATATGGACTTAAGCCCGAACTCGCTCGGATCAGTTCACAGATATTTTCTGGCAAGGAGATACCCACAGCTAGTGAAAATTTTGCTCAAGTTCGAAAAGCATCTATTCATGCCCCTGTGATTGAGAAGGACAACCACTCTGCTCTTGTTGTTCATACCTGAGCGATATGATACTTTCCGTGGAGGGGGCGTGTTGGAAGGATTTAAATTTTAAAGTTACACCCTCTCTAGTAACTTAAGTTTTTAAAGTAGATGGTTGTTAACAATAGGTTTAATCCAATACAAACCCACAAATCAAGAGAGTTTATTAACAAGGAGTTCCTAGTTACTTGCAATAGGAGGACTGCTCTCCCACATAGATAGTCCTTAACAACCACGTTTCATCTCATACATGCTTATTCTACTAAGTTCGTGATGTTATATTGTACATTCACCTTTTTTTTTTCACATTCATATTTCTTAATAGAATATTAGAATGTAATATTGAATTTCCCTAAATTGAAAACAGGGGCTAAAGAACAACAAGTCCATATGATATACATGCAAATATATATACGTGGATGGAGTGGAGATGTGTAGGGAGGAGGACATGTGTAGGGGGATTGTTTCCTACTATCAGAGGCTCTACTCTGAGACTGTCGGTTGGAGACCCAGGCTCTGTGGCCTTAATTTTGATTCAATCTCCATGTTAGAGAGGGACGGGCTAGAGATTCCTTTTTATGAGGAGGAAGTGTTGGGGCCGTTGAAGAGCTGTAATGGTGATAAGACGCCGGACCAGACGGGTTTACTATGAGATTTTTGCTAGAGAGCTCAGAAGTGGTTAGGAGTGAGGTTATGGGCACTTTTCAGGAGTTTTATTCTCATGGGCGGTTTGAGAAGTCGTTGAACGCTTCTTTCATTGCCCTCATCCCTAAGAAGGAAGGATTTTAGACCGATAAGTCTTAAGGGGTGTATTTATAAGCTTACTGCTAAAGTCCTTGCTTTGAGAATGAGGGTGGTGCTAGATGGGGTTATTTCAGCGTCTCAGAACACTTTTGTTGGTGGTTGACATATTCTTGACTTTGTTCTTATTGCTAGTGAGTGTGTGGATTCTACGCAGAGCAGTGGTGAACCGGAGTTTTGTGCAAGCTTGATATCGAGAAGGCGTATGATCATGTCAGTTGGAGCTTTTTGCTGTATCTGCTAGGGAGGTTAGGTTTTGGAGAGAGATGGAGGAGGTGGATTGAGGCTTGTATTTCCTCACTTAGATTCTGTGTTCTGGTGAATGGGTCATCAGATGGAGATCTCTCATTTACTGTTTGCGGATGATACCTTGGTTTTCTATGATGTTGATGTAGCCCAGCTGAGATATTTTAGGTGAGTCTTGATTTGTTTTCAGGCAGTTTCTGGGTTGAAAATTAATGTAGGAAAGGGCATGCTTGTCCCTGTCGGGGAGGTTCAGGATACCGCATCTCTTGCTGCAGTTCTTGGGTGTGGGGTGGGCTCTTTTCCTATCTCCTATTTGAGTTTGCCGTTGGGTGCTCCGTCAAAGAGGGTGGGAGGTTTGGATTTTGTGATTGAGAGATTTGAAAGAGGGTTGGAAGAAGCAATATCTTACTATCTTTCGAAAGGGTGAGAAGGTTACTCTTTTGAAGAGCACACTGTCGAGTCTACCTACTTACTTTCTATCCCTTTTTCAAATTTCCGTCTCGGTAGTTGAAAGGATTGAAAGACTTCAACGGAATTTCCTTTAGGGTGGACGGGGGGGACGAGTTCAAGTATCATCTTGTTAGTTGAGATCAAGTGTGCAGGCTAATTCCATTGGGAGGTCTAGGTATTGGGAGGTTGGCCCTTTTCAACAGAGCTCTTTTGGGAAAGTGGTTGTGGAGATTTGGTAGTGAGCGCCATCGTCTTTGGAGGAAGGTGGTTGTGTGTCGCTCCAGGGAGGAGAGAGGCAGTTGGTCCTTAGATCCGGTCAGATTCACTAGAGGTGTGGGTGTTTGGAAATTCATTCGTAAAGGATGGGATGAATTTTCTAAGCATATTAGATTCAAAGTATGAGATGGCAGGGGAGTTCGGTTCTAGGAGGATTTATGGTGTGGTGATCGCCCGTTGGCTCGTTCCTTTCCCAGACTTTTCCGAACTGCCGTGGATAGACATGCTTTCGTGGCCGACTGTTATCGGCTCAATAACGGTAGGCTTGCGTGGGATGTGTGTTTTCGGCGTTCTTTTTAAGATTGGGAATTGGAGGAGGTTGCAGGTTTGTTGGAGTTGTTGTACGGACAAGAGGTAGATGGTAGTGGCACGGACTATTTGGTTTGGGTGCCTTCCTCTCAAGGGAGGTTCGAGGTTCGTTCCTTATTCCGTTGTCTATCTAATTGTCATAGTTCTAATTTTCTTTGGAAAACGGTGTGGCATTCCAAGGCTCTCCTCAAAGTGGCCTTCTTTGTCTGAACTGTTGTTTGGGGCAAGATTTTGACCCTGGATAATTTGAGAAAGAGAAGACAGATTACAATCAATTGGTGTTGTTTGTGCAAGAGGAATGATGAATCTGTGGATCACCTTCTTTTGCATTGCCTTATAGCTCACGACTATTGGAGCCTTATCCTCGGCATTTTCGGCGTCCATTGGGTTATGCCTCGGTCCTCAAGGGGGTTGATTGACACTTGGGGAGGCTATAGTGTGGGAGCCACGCCCATAAGTGTTGGAGGGTGGTTCCCCTTTATGTCTGATGGTGCTTATGGAAGGAGCGGAATAAAAGATCTTTTGAAGGGGAGGAATCTTCCTTAGGGGCCTTGAAGTTTCATATTATTAGCTCTCTTTTTAGTTGGGTTTTGGGGAGAAATTGTACATCCATCGATGAGTTTATTGATTTTTTGGGTTCGGTAGGTCCTTAGGACCTTGTCTCTGGCTTCGGCCTCTGAATAGCTCTTGGGACACGTTCCCCGTTTGAATGCTTTCTAATTCATTTTACTTATCAAAAAAAAAAAAAGTATTCTACGACACGCAAACAAATATGGATCCCTATATAACAAGAAACAAACAGGTGACAGAAATCTTATTTTTATAACCTAACAATTCAGGATTAATTTAAATATTTGGTGAAGCTAGCACATTGGATAAGGCGGTGACTAAACAAGATAAAAATGCAATACTAACATCATGATAATTATAACAAATTTTCATTAACTTACATACGAAGTATTGATATGTACAAAATGAAAGTGTTATGACAAACAGCCCCTAATCAAGAAACAATCACGAAACACGACAAAAATAAGCACCACACAAGACACAAAGAGTTATGTGGTTCAGCTTAACGCAAGCTTACGTCCACGGCGAAGATCCGGGGAAAGAATTCACTATGCGAAAAACATGAGATTACAAGTTTCAGCCCCCAAAACCCCAACTCTCTCTCTCTCTCTCTCTCTCACTCTTGCGGTTTTCAGTGTTCTTTCCTATCACACCCCAAACCCTAAGCGCTCTTATCTATTGCGCTACAAGAGAGTCTGAACAGGCTCCACGACCCACAAGAGAGAGAGAAAAAAAATCAAATGGGTCCGAAACAAAATTTGGACCACGACATCACAGAAAGTATACGTGTATACATGAATTTAATGACCTGCACCAGCCTCCAGGTAGCTACAAATCACAAACAATAAGATAAGGAATGAGCACTCCCAATATGGAAACACGCAAATACATATAAACTTGTTATCGTTCTAAAGAAACAACCATCAAAAATAAGAGAACTAAATAACAAAACAAATTTAATTACCTGACGAGCTTCTGAGGGGTAAAATTAGACTCCCATAACTGATTCAAAACAGCTCCTTTCCATGATGCTCTAAACCGAGTAAACCACTCAGACTTGGCATCTGATTCTGATGAAAATCCAGCAGGTCCCACTAAAATCAAGTGTTGTACGTGCTCGGGATGCTATAAAAATAGAGTTAACATCGATAGTGGGCAAAGCCATGACACTTCTCTCAAGATTCAAACATAGACATGGGAAAGTGATCACCTTGAGAGCATATTTTGCTGCAACATACCCTCCAAAAGAATGCCCAAGTAATATGAAGCTGCTCAGGTTTTTGGCTTTACGCCATTCCTCAAAAGAATCAATAAACCAGGCCTCAGTTTCTGCATCTCAAGCAACAGCACATTTAAGTAAGTTTTAATAGTAAAGATGAGTCAGAGATAGACTAATATTCATGGTGAAACATGCTAGAATTTGGATGCTGATAAAAGTATTTCAGCAGCTACACCTGACTGATAATGACTGGATAGAATGGTCATTTGCACTAAACCTACAGGAATCATAGTTTCCAGACAGGTAATAAGCATAATGTTCTGAAACTTCTACAATGGATCCCATAGTTGCAGAGAATACATGCATATTTGAAGTTCCAGCTAAAATGCAGCAATTTATTCAAACTGCGGATGAAGTTCACCATTTGAAACTTAACATTTTTAGATGTTATATGACGGCTAAGGAAAAATAATAATATCTACATACGTCTGAGAATTAAATGCCAACCATAAAACATGACAACTAATATGATACAGGGTTAAGTACAATTTGCTCAAGAAAAGAAAACATTTTTTATTAGGCAAACAAAGAAATAAATAATAATCAAGACTATGAAGAAATGGTAGAAGGTAACAACAATGGAAATTTCATGGTACCCAATAGGATTTAATAATATCACTAACTTCCCTCAAGCAGTATAAAATGTCAATAACCTCTCCTTTAGGGTAGTTGGCCTCTAAAATCATATGGGAACAGCGGATTTCACCTCATGAACTAACTAGGAAGGACAAGTCATGCTGGAATCATAATGAGAGGTCAGTCTTGCAACAACCATAGAAGAGTAAAAATTTAGCATAATCTTTTTTTTTCCTTTTTTGGGAGCTTTATAATACACAAAAGCATCAATTTTTTAATTCATAATTAAGGTATGAAATCAATGATGTGCAGATGAACATTTTTTGAGCTAACACTATAATTGTGTCTTAATTGTTTATATGAAAAAACAGTAATGCACACACGTGCAACAGTAATGCATAAACACGCGCATACATGTATAAACAAGGTCTCAGATCGCCATCACGTCCATGACATATTGCAGTCACAGCAAACACCAGAGCCACACTTCCTTTTATTTTTTTTTTGGCAGAACTCCAGAAAGTAGCAATAGACATGTCTAAATCTCGGAATCATGCAATCCTACTTCGAATATTGATAGTTTTTTTTTCCTAGTTGATACTCACTCCCCCCCAAGGAATTGTTTGCACCCAAGAGGAGTCGAACATTAGACCTGAGGAATTTTGATAGTTATTAATGGACTTCTTTTTAAATGTATATGCACAATTTTAATAAGGTTTTATTAATTTTATATCGGTTTCTATGTTAGTAATTGGATGAAACATTTACTAATTTTTAGCTTTCATTACTATTTATGACTGTAAATGCACTTAAAGATGAAAAAAAAAATTAAACTAATCGATAAGATATGTTCAAACATTATCATTATCCCAAAGTCGAATAAGTACAAAGAGAAGTAGGGGATATACAGAGATCTATGTCATCAAAGATTGAAATGGATTCACCAACAAAAATTTTGTAATCTTGATTAAAGTTGATCGATTAACCTAAATCAATCAAAGAGGTGATAAAATTCAAAGAAGTTTGAAAATAAGCTTGAAACTTACACTAAAAGGTCCAATACGGTTGTCCTAATCTAAGATTGAAGATAATGTTTGCAAAGCATCCTGTTGGTTGAAATTATTAGGGGGGGAAAATTGATGAAAATAGGTTGGAAATGAAATCTAAACATCCACGTCTCAACATGGCCATCACCAACAACTAGAGGCAATTATACCATTACAGTTTTATAAAAGCCAAAACACCTTTTAACTTCACTAGGTTCCCCAAAGTTTGGCATTTGCTAATATGCTCTGCAACAGCTGCATTTTAAAACCTTGGTAGAAAGTGATAATGTGATGAAATTCAAAGACAACTTACCTTCAGTGCTTTTGCATGTGAAGTCAGGCCTGCTTGATCCACCCCAACTGCAACAACGAAAAAGTGAGAAGGTGAACATCTTATTTAAAAATATATAGATTTTTTTAAATAAAAATAGTAGTTCTATCTACTAAAAAAAGAAAGCCAAAAGAGGTAACCTTAAGAACCAAGTACGTGTAACACAAAAAGCTGCTGGAGTATTTCTACATGGTTAAAGGGACTGTAGCAGTTTAACAAGAAAGTCTAACTGATTTATCTTTCTATTCATGTTTGTCTAGAAGGTCAAATTTGTAAACTAAAAAAAAAAAAAAAAAAACCATATCTGTTACGCATTTTTCCTTAAATATTTAGCAAGGCTTTCAAAACTCATCTGAGGGTCACCTATCAAAAATAAAAATTGCAACTTATAAGTAGAGTGATGCTACAGAAAAAATTTTTGTTTGTATGAAATGATATGTTCCGATTTATCTCCAATCATTTCAAAATAATTTAGAAAAAAAAAAAAAAAACCACTTGTCACATCATCTGGATGGCAATTCTGTTTGCAACACAATATATGGAGCACAGATTTGTTTAGCGTTAACCAATTGATCTCATGGTATTCCTAAGAAGAAACATTGAAGTGGCACAAGAAGGAAAAGAAAATGACAGTCTACCAAGACTGAGCAAATTGTCCATGCAACACACTATGAAAGTTTGGTGCGAATTGGAAATTCTATGTGTTAGAGAAACAGCTCATCAGATGTGAAAATCCAATTACACCAAGTTAAAAATCCCTTTTGAGTATTATTTAGCACTAATAAGATAAAGTAAGAATTTTTCATTTATGCTTTACAAATTAATAGTCTACATGGCAAAATTATTGTTGCCTTCATAAATTCATCTTTTTATTGTAGCCTTCTCCTTATCATTTCTCCTCAGTGCCTTCCATCAATCTATATGCATTTTAAACATGTTATTGGTACTTGTAACAAAAAAACACGTGTTACCAGTAAGATCTTAGTAAAACAAACCTATTCTTGTAGTTATTGACTATGATAGTTGAGGGAGATTGATGGTGTCTTTGGTTCTTTACCTGTTATGCTTAACCACACTAACAATGTCAATTTTTAGATTGTTTCTATTGGCACACATAGTTCTCTTTGCGTAAGATCACTTCCTTAGATTGCCATGGAAATCCATTTTCAGCCTTGCCAATAGGCATCTCTATTGTCAAACCATGATAAAATCAAAACCCTGTGTACCTGCAGGCTGAACTTGCAGTTTGAAGAAAATTAGAGGCACACAGGTAATTCAGGTTTGTACACCGTATGTTATCTAGAGAAATATATCAACAAATTAACACAGAAGTAGACAAATAGAATGGAATACTGATTCAAATCTGTTACCAACAGTTATATATGTATATATATTGTTTTATGCATATATGTGGGTGAGTGTGCGTACATTCAATAGGATAAAACACCAAAGATGGAGACTGCTACATTTTCATCCCCAGAATTTAACACAACCAAAGTATCATCAATGTTGTTAGGCTAAGGCAACCAAAGGATGTATATCAAGATGTTGTTATAAACATGAGGAAGCTATTAGCCAATAATATAGTTTATGGATATAACTATATATATATATGGAACACAATTATTGAAATGTGATTAAAAATCCAAGCAAAATGAACTCACCCTAGCTGATCAATAGCAATGATCCTGAAATGGTTGGCAAGTGCATCAAAATTTCGAAAGAAGAACCCTTGAGAAGCACCATAACCGTGAACCATTACAAGAGTGGGTGAACCATCTTTGCTGTCAAAGGTAACCGTATTGATAAACCTTGGCTCGTCACTCACAGAACGAAACCACCTAACTTTTGAACCCGGTGGACCAGACCCTATGTTAACCTGTTCTTGAGTATATGGAGTCCTGGAAGTTAAGCACACCACCGATCCAGCAAGAAAAACAAACATGAAAAAACGAGTAAGTCAGAAAACCTCACAGGGAATAGATATAGGAGGTTTGAAACCATAATTCATCAACATTGGTTACTTGGTGGTGTCCATGTCCTCAGCAGAAGAAGTAATTTTAATTATATTATGTTGAATTTTGAATTTGAAAAACGGTCATAACTTATTCACCCAAAGATAGAAAGAGAGAGAAACTAAGTAACCAAAATTTTATACATAAAAATAAAGTAACCTAATGGAATTTGAAAATTCTGGTATTTACATTTCGGTGTGGTTGCTTGCAGGCACGGAGCCAGCGTGTGCGGGGGTGGGGAGCTGGCCCCTGAAATTTTTGCAGCTGGCTCCTTTTAAACTTTTTTATTACTTTTTAGATGTGATTTTGTTAATATTTTTAATCCAAGCCCCCCACCCCCCTTCTCTCTCTGTCCTTTTTTTTATTTATTCTTCTTCTTCACATGTCTTTGATTCTCTTCCAAAAACAGAAAAATAAAATTGCATACCGCTTCTTCAATTAAAACCTAATTTTTTTCCCCTTCAAAGTTATCTCATTTTTCTTTTAATGGTTTCAGTACCTGCGGGATAATTAACAGTACCTTTTTTAGAGAATGTTAATAAATTCAAAAATCCATTTCGCTGCGCTTTAGCACCTGGTTCAACAACTCCATGTCTTTCCCTTGTCTACAGATATAAATTGGACGCAATGCTCCCCTCAAATGCTTTATGGGTCTCTTTTTTAGTCTTCCTTGAGGCAGATCAGGCTTATTAGTAGCTTCAGTAGCTTCGGAAGGAGAAGCCCCTTCAACAGAGATGGACATACTAGCTCTTCTTGTGAGTGTGGATGTGATCCAGGCTTTAATCTCACCTATCCCCCTAAAGCAAGCAAGATTCGAATTGATCCAGAAGTTGGTCAACTTTAGCACATGCATTTTCTTTTCTCCGAACAACAATCATCCCATTCTCTTTCAAAGAAATCAAAAGAGGCCGACCTTATTGCACTCTCCTTCTGTTCTTTCTTCTTCTTCTTCTTCTTCTTCTTTTATTTTTTTTCTTTTTGTCTTCATAAAATTTCTTCTTGAACTCATGTATGATGTATGTGAGGTAAACTTTTTTTCTCTATTCTTATTTCTTTTTCAAATTTATTACTGCAATTTTTATTTTTTTTTGATAAGTAATAATTGATTAAAAGGCATTCAAAAGGGGAACGCGTCCCTCAAAATTTATTATTGTAATTTTATAAACCTAATACCTGTATTTTATGTTTCTGAAATTTTCTTTACTGCAATTTCTTTGTGACCTGTGACATGGTATTTAAATCTTGATTATTACACTGTTAGTACACGTCTATTTTTTGGCTTCGTTGTCTTGCTACATTGTTAGTTGTTACATTAGTTAAGGAAAAAAAATTATTTTATCATGTTAAATGTGCACCCCCACCCCCCAATATTATATATACATATATAAATACATATTATGGCTCCGTCTCTGTTTGCTTTTGCAGATTAGGATTATTTCGAATTCTAATTTATTGGAATTCAAAATAATTAGAATTCCAAGTAATTAGAATTTTATTATTCAGATCAAGTATGGATTCATTTGAAATTAAGTTCCAAAATCAGTTTTATCTTTGCATAAACCGCTCATTTGCAATTGAAATTCAAAATATTATAAGGAAAAAAAAAAGTAATTATCCAAAGTAAAAAAGAAAATTTCCAAAATATGAACTAACTATTACTATACAAAAATCTCAACAACATAACCCTTTCGCATATGTAGATCTGTAAGTATGTAAATATATGTACGCAGTATGAATCTATATATATATAGTAAAATTACATGTTTATATATGTATTCATGAACATATACCTACAATTGTGTCTTTGTATAAAATATGTGTTATGACAAACGCAACGAACCCAAGTTGAATCAAGAATCACGACAGAAAAGTAAACACGCCACACAAAGAACACAAAGATTTATACATAATTCGGCAACAGGCTACGTCCACGGTTGAGCTGGCGAAAGTTTTCACTATGTGTAAAATCGGAGATTACAAGTTTTCAGCCCCTCACTCTGTTTCTGTACGAATTTCAGAGTCTCTCACATCCTCCACTCCAAACCCTAAGCGCCCTTATATATCGGGTTACAAGAGAATAATTAGGGTCCACGACCCATGAGCAAAATAGGGGTCGCCGGGTCATAAGCGGGTCAGGCCACAATATCACAATATGTATATCTATACTTCATTTATAAGCGCATACAGGTATATATATACATGTTGTAACGTATATATACTTGCACGTATGTATATATATAAAGCATAAAGACACACATTTATGTATATATAAATGCGCATATACATATGCATACATAGATATGTGTCCGCTAAGAGCATGGACACAAGCGCGGGATATGAATAAGACACGTCACAAATAATTTCTTACTAAATAAAGAAGTAAAAATAAAAAATAAGACAGGTCACAAAAACGAAGACGCGACAAATTTTGAAAAAGTAGGGCATGGATACGACAAAGACACAAGAATAAAATATTTTTTTTTCATAAAAATATTGTATTATTTATGATAAATATATGATTGTAACATGAAACTTCAAGTATTAATCATATTACCATAATCGCTTGTTAGATGGGAAAAGACATAAAAAGTCAAGATATATATATATATATATATATATATATATATATATATATATATATATATGTAAAGCATAAAACAAAAATGAAGAGATAAATAAAATAAGTAAAACACACAGATATTACGTGGTTCAGCCACTAGGGCCTACATCCACGGCACAAAGAGCCCAAAGGGCTACATCACTTTTATAATACTCTCAATTCATATACAATACAATGGCGGAGGCTCATCTATATAAGAGAAGAAATTATAAGAATGGAAAGAGATAGAAAATAGGAAACAAGGAGGATTTTTCTCCACTGATTCCTCTATAACATCAAATCTTCAATAATAGGAAACAACATCAATTACTAAAAGATTTTCCTCAATTGATTTCTCTATTAAATCTTCAATACTTGTAGAGTAGTAGAATCCGAGGTGCACTGAGAGAGGTGAAAGCCTAGGCACACTTGAGAAAGAGAGAGAAAAAGAAGATCACAGTGTGCTAGTACACCATTGACTCCCTTGGGGTTGTGAAGACATCATGTGAGTAAGAGAATCTTAGAGCTACCCCCATTGGCCTTGGAGCATCTCCTTTTATAGGCCAAGTGAGAGGCTGGTTGACGTCATCTTAATTATTATAATAATTAAAAGAGATAAACTTCACAAATAATTATAAAGCAATATTAATTAACATGGGGATAATTTGTCCAGGAGTCAAAATGGTATTTCTCTCTTTACAAGTCGAGTATCGACTTGATGTACCCTGGACTCCAACCACCAAACCAAGTACCTCCTTAAATCCCAGGTATTCTCGAGTCCTACTCCCAACTTAGGTCTTTAAGTCTTCACTTCTGTTTGATGACGTGGTATGGGCCACATAACTTGCCCGTTTATTGTTTCACTTTGGCTATGTGGGTCATTATTGATGATGTGGCATTGGCATGTGGACTGAAATATATCCGATACTTTGTACCATGTTACATGGACGCTTCAAAAGTACTGACGTACCAGTGTCAGACGCAAATTACTCTAACATGGGTATGGGATATGTATCCGACACTTTTGGTTGGAAATGTACTTGAAAAACATATTTAATCATTTAATTTTATTACATTATTACTTTAAAATGAGTTAAATGCCTATATTGAACACTATGTTACATAAAAACATTACTTTACTCTAAAAAATAAAATGAGTATTTAGCCGTGTCCATGTATCCTTCTATTTGGAGATTTGACACATCCGACGCATGGATACATACCGGTACCTGACACGCATACCCAAGTCCATGTGACATAGTGTATGCGCATAAATATACAATTTTGTGTATATAGATCTTTATATATAACCAGGTATTAGGAAACTAAATTTAATGTGACTTGGCTGACTTGGCTAAGTTATAATAGGTACAATCGTGACCATGACTGAGTCGACCTAATATCCCAATGAGACTAAAGCTCATCACTACTCGGTCAAAACGCAAGAAATAGACCTGCTCGGCTGCTCTTTTCCAATTTTTCTTATTTTTCACTCTTCCAAATGAGTTTCTCAACCTCAAAATAGTCTCTAACACATCAAACAACTTAAATCTATAATCCCAAAAGAAAAAAAATAAATAAGTAAATAAAACACACACACACAAACTTGACTAGATCTTTTTCCCTGATATATGTAAGTATTCATTAAAAAGCACCCAAACGGAGGACACGGGCCAAAACAACTACACGAACAAAAACCTATACCCTCAAGCTATCCACAGTAGACAAGAGAATCTCCATAGGTTTTCAAATGGACCCCTGATTTTGAGAGGAAAAAAAAAAAAAACAGCCAAGGATTACAACCTTTTCTTTTTTTTGCTTTCTATTCAGTTTTTCAACTAAGTTTATCTTAAAATCGTTGTTCTATGTTCGATCTACCATATTTACAAGCTCTATCAATTTTTGTAATGTTTCCTTATTTTTTCAGAAAAGGTAAACTATTTATATTCATAAAACATGTAAACCATTATTTTTTTTGTTATATATATAAATATGGAATAGCTATTTGATAAGTAAAATTTTATTAATAAGTGCTCAAAGGGGAGCGCACTAGAGGAACAACTGCAGAAAAGGAAAAAAAACACTGTACCCTAATATTATCCAAAAAATCAACAAAATCCTCTATAAATGTACATGAACGTTCTCGCACCCAAGAGAATATATTACTCAAAATGACGTGCTTCAACACCCAAATTGGCCCTTCCACACCCTCAAAAACTATCTTATTAATCTCCATCCATAGGCCCAACCAAATACAAAAGGGACTAACTCTACAGGATTATCGAGCTTGTCTACCCACTGTCATTCCCTCGAAGCCTCAAGAGCCTCCCTAGTCTTGGCCGAAGACACTCACTGCACCCAAATATGGAGAAGACCATAGCCTACACGTCTCTTGCTACTGGACAGTGCAATAATAGATGATTCACCGTCACCTCATCGTTCTTGCGTAAGCAACACCATTGACCACCATATGATGCCGCTCCCTCGAGTTATCAATGGTCAAATCCTATTCAGATCTGCTACCTACCCAAAGAAAGCCACCTTGAGAGGGGCTTTGATCCTCCACACCGCCTTCCATGGAAGTATATCCTCTGAAATTCCCTAGAACATCTGATAAAAGGATGTGACTGTGAATCCATTCTGCCAGACCACTTTCCAACTACACCCATCCCGGGTATCAATATTCACCGACAGCTGATAGATTAACTCAAAGAGAGCTACCACCTCCTCCATCTCCAAATCTTGAATCAGTCTAGCAAACTAAACATCCCATATTGTCAGCCCATTAACAAGACGATAAAAGTCAGCCACGATGCTCTATTTGTTGATTGCCAGTCCGAACAAATGAGGAAAAAGGTAGGCTAAAGGTCTACCATCACACCATGCATCCAACCAAAATCTGATCCACCTCCCACTGTGCATTTTTTTTTTTTTTTTTGATAAGTAATTAAAAATAAAAGGATATTCTGCTGCTGATGCCAAGGTTTGAACTCCAGACCCCTGCATATTTCTTTACACAAACAACCAACTTTCCCTGGAGCGCTGCTCGTAAATGCATCTTTTATATGTTATGATAAGTCATTCCACCCCTTCCTAATGCTTTTCCAAACACCCACTCTAGCCAGTCCATGCACCTCCCTAGAGCACCATCCACCCATTTCCTCCTCAATCTTAGTCTCTATAATCCTCCAAAATAATTTGTCTCTCTCCACGCCGCATACCACAGCCACTTCCCCAACAACGCCTAATTAAACCACCTAAGATCCCGAATACCCAAACACCCCCATTCTCTTTGGGTTGCATAACTTATCACAACTCACTAAATGATATTTAAATCCCCATACTCAAAGTGTATATGTCAACAGATTATGCTTGCCTTTGGGGTTGCTTAGATATTGCTGGTTGTTTGTTTGGTCCAGCTCTCTGTGGTTTCCTAGTTGTTGGCTACTTCTCTTTGTTGGGCTGTTCCATTATTTGGACTGTTGTCAGGCTGCTTGGCTTGTATATGTTTGCTGCTGCTTTAGACTGATTCTCCCTCTTGTTTACTTTCTCAATATAAATCTTACTTACCAAAATGAAAATGTGTTTATGTTTATATACATTTATAATTATTATTCTATTTTTTTTTTTTTTTTTTTTTTTGAAAGGTATTATTATTCTATATTTGTTTACATATATGTGTGTATATTATTTTTATTATTGGAGAGACTTTTAAATTCCAAGTAAGTTTCAAATTTGAAAATCTCATTCAATTAGTGGAATTATAATTGTGGAATTGGTGGATCTGAAATTCAAAATGAATCCCAATCCCATACCTATCTTGGGAAACAAAATAATAAATTTGTAAGTAGAATTCCCAATTTCAATTCTAAGCCTCAACTCCATGCAACCAAACGTACTCCTAGGCTTACCACAGACAATTCAGGAACTTTAAGTGATGTACTGTAATTTACGTCTACATTTCAAAGATTTTGCAGCAGTTTTGGGGGTAAAAGCTGTACAATAGAAATTTAAACAAACTTTAAAAATTCAATTTATCAGCTTGCGTAGTTGCTATAACAATATAACATAAACTATGTTTCTCTACTTAACAATTAAGGAATCGCATCAATGCACACAATACATACTCCGATGAACAAGGTGGTTAGGGATTCACATAAGGCAAATGAACTTTAAATAAATGAACGAGAAGTTCAGTAACTTCAAAATTGGATAGAATTTTAGAGCTGCAGTAACTCTCTTCTTCAAAAACCGAAATGAACCATTAACAAATTACACGAAATTTTGAATGAAGACAGTGTCAAGAATAAAAATAAATAAAAAATAAAGATTAGGGTTTCTAGAGAGAGAGTAATACTTGACAAGAGATAGAAGACGCTTCTCGGCGGCGATGATGTGGTCGGTGGAGGTGGGAATCCAACGAAGGACGGAGGGCCACAACGATCTGGTTGTTGATTTTGCTCCTGTTGTAGTTGACGCAGCTGATGCGCTGATTTCCTCCGCCATTCTCGCCAGTGAATTCGACCACCTCGGTCCAAAGCTCGTACGGTTCTTGATTGTTATACAATCAACCGTCTCTGCATATTTGTTACTTATATATGTATCTGTATGTATGTACATACGTATAACATTTTGCTTTACAAAGGTTTGACTCAATTAAAAGTGATGAAGATTGCGTGCATACTTTTTTCCTTTTATTTCATGCAAAACTTTTCTTTTCTTTTCTTTTCTTAAATATTTGCAATCCCTGACAAAGCAGATACTAGAGTAGGTGATCTTTTACGTGGTCGAATTAAAAATGCACAGAGTCCCGGGTTTTAAAATCAAAAAATAAATAAATAAATAAATAAAATATTTTTTTGAAAACAAATTCAATCACCCTCTCAATTTCGAGAAAATATTAAACACCAGTAGCTGAATCGTGTATCCCTTTGATGTGGTGGGGCACCGCATCCATAATCTAAAGGTTGTCGATGCCCGGGTGTTGAGAATTATATGTCCTGACATAATAAATTTTCATTTGAAATATAGCGTTTCTGAAATATTTATACTTTATACAATTGGTGAATTCAATGTATTATGTTTTGATTCATTATAGAATTGATAGTGTCCACTTGATTATAAGAGATATTTATATATGTATGTGATGACGATCAATACATGAATATAAATAGTAATTATAAATGGTTCATAGTCGGTAATTATGGATAGACTCATAATTAATTAAGACTTGAACTGGATCCGCGTTAAGTTGAGATATATTGCAAGAGCCGTCGTATGCAATTGCTCCCTATCACCGTCATGGCATTTGACTCTTAAGCATGAGAAAAGTATAGACTCTTTTATTAATTAACAATTACTTTGATTTGTTCGGCGGATTCTTCGGCATCCTTAGACCAACACTTTGGGTAGCTATGTAATTAATAGTTAGAGGGTTATGTTTTCAATATTTGCATCATTGATACTTGTATTTATTTTGTATTGATTATGGTTGATCACAAAGTAAATTCGAAGGCCTTCGTATGTTTTTAGACAAAATGATTTATTATATATTTATTTATTTAAATTATTATTTTTATCAAACAAATGTTTTATTGTGATCGAGTCAGTAATAATCAATGGTACCAAAATAAATATATTAATTAAGTAGTCGAATTGATGGCTTTATTTATCCGATAACTAATTATGCATAGAGGGGTCAAAGTGCAATATTGACTTAGAGGTTATTTATTATTTAATTGGAGTTTAATTAATTTCTTTTAGTGGAGTAGAAATTAATTTATGAATTAATTGAATTGGGTCCATGGACTGGGCCAATTATTAATTCATTATAACCAATAAAATAATAAGCCCAAAGGATTCTCACTCATAGCCCAACTTGATATTGGAATCCTATTAGATTTGAGACATATGAATTAGAGATTGAGAATGATTTGTTATTTCATTTTCTTTATCTTTATGTTGCCTATAAATATACATGGTCTATGTATATTTTAGGGGTGATTTTTATGAGAAGGAAAAAGGAATATATTTTATCTATCTAGAAAATTAGGGTTTACGTTATCATTTAATGGAGTCTCCCACAAACTTAGTTTTCCAAGGTCATTCATGGAGGCTTATGAGTGATTCCTAAAGGCAAAACAATTACCAAGAAGATGAAGATCCAAGGAGAAGGCATCTTGCTAAGGGATCTACAATAAGTGAGAACATTCACTTTAGAGGAAAGATTTAAAGATTTACTCAGACATTTGATGCAAGTATTCAATCTGTTAATTGAATGATACATCATGTTTTATTTTTGCATAAAACTTGTCTCTATATGATGAATCAAGATCAATGAATTAAAATCCCTTGAAAAGTTTTTAAAACTAGCACGTTTCCCAACACCGGGTATCATACCCCGGGTATTATTTTTTATTTTGTAATTATAGGTGATGTGATTGGACCACATCAACAATCAGTAAAGATCACCTTACTTTGAGTACGCAAATATTGTCCTTACCCAAAGGTCAAGGATATGGCAAGTTGGATTTGGATGTCGCATAAACCAGTATTTTAAACTCGTGACAAAATTAATACGAGCTAAATATTGGACTATACGATTTAAAATAATGTGAAAGAAGAATTTTATTTTGAATAATGTACAGCACAAAATAAATAAAAAAATTAATTTCAGAAATAGTTACAAGCTAAATACTGAACTATAAGATTTAAAATTAAGTGAAAGTATTTTTTTTTTTTTTAGTACAAAGTACACTATACTATACTATATATATATGGGGAAAACTAACATCCCCACCTGGGGTTGATAATCCCTTGGGCTGGGGGAGGGGGGGGGGGGCGATCACTCCTCCATTATGTCTCGACTTTTTCTTTTTATCTCTTACGTTTATCCCCGCGGCGGGGGGGGGGGGGGGGGGGGGAACCAATCACTCCTCCATTATGTCTCGACTCCTCCATTATGTCTCGACTTTTTCTCTTTATCTCTTACGTTTATCCCCCACCCCCAACCGAATTCAGAGTGTGAGAATGGACTGAATAGATGGGCATGATAGACTTAGTGAGAAAAGTAAGAACAAAAATAGGAGAAAGAACCAAACACAGAGAGATGACTCAAAGAAAGAAATAATCAATAATATCTAAAAACAGATTTCTCAAGTTACAAAAGAGCCTTTAAATAAGCAAATTATTAGGAAAATCCCTAAAACATAAAAATACCAAAATAACCATAAAATTCAAACATTGTTACAAATAACAATAAGCATAAAAAACCTATTACTAAAATTTTGAATTTTATTTATCTCTTCTTATTCTTCTCCAAAAGTAATGTTGAAGCATGTGTAACTCAAGTATTCGAATCATATCATATTCTCTATCAATTCTCCTTAGTTGAGAAGAACTCTTCTTCGGTGAGTAAAGCGTCTCTAGATAGCTCAGATCAAAATCATAAGACTCATCTGAAGCTGATTGTCAATCACTCTGATGCTTAATAACATATTTAATCCAATTCAAATGTAATAGCTAACATAATGGGAGGACAAGTGCAACTACTAAAAAAAATATAATTACACCTGTAGAAGCACAAGCTAACGACACAAGAGGCTCAAAGGCACCTCGGTTAGGCAATAAATACTCTACATGAAAAATTAGACTAATACTACGATGTGCTAACAAGTCAAATAAATATGCATTAGGTCCTAATTAGGAATGGTTTGGAGATTTTGAGTGATTTGGGCTTGTAAGTCTCTAAGGAGTTATAAAGTTGTGGTGATATACAAATAATAACATACTCTCCTCTAATGCACTTCCAATTCCTAATATGTGGATATGCAATAATTTCATAATTTTTATTACTCAAAATAATTTATCGTATTATATCGGCATGAAACTTATAGACATACTCGACAAAGGAATCAGATATTTTAAATGAATAAGCATATGAATACATAGGTTTAAGGTCAATGGGCTAATGATAAAGACAATCATATATCACTGTAGGACAACCATCAGTTGACCAATTCACCAAACAATGCTAGACATACTCCATAAGAGGCAACAATGAATTCCCAATATCTACATGTGCTCCCATAAGACATTGAATCAACTTTCCAAAATTTCGCTTAATAGTCTCAATTTGCCCATCAATCAAGAATCTAATGCAGACGAAATTTGAAAATTAACCCCTAAAAGCTTCCAAAGAACTTCCTAAAAGTAGTTTGCATTTAACGTCCATAACTGAAACAATAGAATTGTGTGTGTAATGAATTTAACGTACTCTCTCTACATAATTGATTATAATGGGATGATGTAGGGCATTAGATTCAAGTGGTTGAGAATTACACACATTTTCAAATGGAATATGGACAATTTCTTTTGCCATTTTTTTTACTAACATGATTTCGTCAACACAAAACTAAGGAAAAGTCCCAAGTGCCTTAGAGTCCATTTCTAATTACTTTGCAGGATTTAACTTAATATTTAAGCCATTATACCTAAGGCCATATATGTTCTATCTACAATAGTGAGTAACACAAAAATCATAGATTCATGGGTTACCAAGTAGCATATGAGCTACATTCATTAATAAAACATCACACCAAATCATACCAGAGTAGTTACCCATTTGAATTGGAACTAAGCACCTCTCAGAGACCAACAAGGAAGTTTTTCCTACCCAAGCTACTCTATATTGCTATGGATGAAGCTCAGGTTTAAGTTTCATTCTATTAACACCTGATTCTGACACTACATTAATTGAACTTCCTTTGTCAATGACGATTTTACAAACTTTATCTCCGTATTAGAGATATCTATGGAACAGGTTGGTTCTTCTCTAGTCATCTTTTTCCAAAAGAACTAATGAAACGCTTGTCAAGACATTATTGGCGAATTCGTAGGTTCAATTCCTATAAGATGTGTGATACCCCTTGGATCCGAGACACGGGTTGATCAGATCCGAGCCCAAACCCGAGGGATATTAAATAATTAAAGTATTTTAAATCGAACACGGAATACAAAATGAAATAAAAAATAAAAGTAAATAGCTGGAAGAAACTAAATTAATAAACCTTGAAATAAAATTATTCAAATAAGCAAATAATTAATTAATCAAAACAAACAAATAATCAATTAATTTAATAAAAATACAATAAATAATTAAATTAAATTCCAGGACTGTCCTTTTAAAATTAGGGATATTACATTCTTCCCCCCTAACAAAAAGGAATTCCGTCCTCGAAATTCGCTCTTACCTTCTTCCCATAATTCAGGAAACTGCGAGCGAAAGTGTGATACCCCTGGATTTCCGAATGCGGGTTGGCCAGGCCCACGCCCGAATACCCGAGAATATCAAAACAAATTGATAATAAACGAACACAGAGTACAAAAGAATAAAGAAGAATAAATAAAATACTGACAAGAAACTAAAATGATAATCTAATAATAAACCTCATAATATATTTCCATTAACTAATAAACTCTTCTGATACAACTGATCCTCCAAAATACAACTCGGGAATCCATACTGTGTGGACCCCTAGAAAATCCAAACTAAACAAATGACAATAATCTAAAACAGGAAACTGAATCATAAAGGAACTCCTATGTAGCATCGGAAGAATGAAGTAAACTGATCTCCGCTCAGCACGAACACCTGAAAAATAATGGTGGGTCAGGCCCACAAACAAGTTCTACTCTACTACAGTCCAATCAGAGATCCGATACACATA